GGGCGTGGCGTGGGGGCGTGGCGTGGGGGCGTGGCGTGGGGGCGGATCGTGGGAGCGGAGCGTGGGAGAGTGGAGCGGCGAATTGAGCGTGGGCGGGGATTGGGCGAGAATGTGGGCGGGGCAGTCGAGTGCACGAGAGGAGACAGAAGAGTGCTTGTTGCCAGTCGTGGCGCGTACTGTGTCGGCTGTGGTGAGAGGGTTTTCTGCACTGCCCTCCGAATTCTGTCTGAATAGATAGACCATCTCGCTTATCCTTTAAACGGCCGTACAACGGATAAAATTATTCCCGCCTGAAACACGCCAATAAAATGCAAAGACATTACCGTCGTGTTCTCAAGTACTAACCGAAAATACTACTTTATAATAAGCAACTACCATACTGTTGACCGTGACAACAGTATTTCTATTACCATGTGAATTCACACACACACACACACACACACAAAAAAAAAAATCACATCTGAAAATTTTGTTTCACATATCACTAATTTATGTAAATAGAAAGGTATCAATTTGTTTAGAAAACTTTGAAAAGGATTTTTTGAAACAATGAAAAATATTGTGTTTGAATCTGCAATATTTATATGGAGATATTGATTTTGAACGTTGTTTCGTGTAAAATAGTATTTGTCAAAATAATATGACACTCGAAAGTGATATAATAGTTATTTATCATACAAGTGGCTTAAAGAGACAATTGTGTGGAAGTTGACTAATTATTCCCGAACAAGGTAATAGGTGTGTATAATTTTTAACGTGTATATAACCATTTTAGCCATAAGTGAAATGTAAGTTTTAATTTTATTAGATCACCTTTTCAAGCTATTGACACATTTTCTAACTATATACCTTTATACTTATGTTAACATTGGCCGTAGTTTATTACATTGGATAGACTGTGCGATTTTATCTAGTATATAAAACATTTTATTTCTTTCTGTCCTTTATTAAATTACTTTTATCTGCGACGATCCACTTAATTTTGTTTTGTTCAACCAAATAGTAATAATATATATATTATCGCGGTTTTTGTAAGAACTGATTTATTTGAAATATTTAATTTATTGTCGTGTTATACGAGAGTATTTTCTTGTTCTTCTTGGGCAGGGCAGTGCGCTTGCTCCATTTTGGTACACCATTTTGTGTGGTTGTGTTTAAAAGAATTTTTGCTGCAACAGGCCACTAATATTTATTTTTATATGAACTTTAATGTGTTGTAAATAATGTAATGTGTATATAATGTAAATAATTTAATGTGTTTTCTGTGGTTTTGTTCAACATCATTTTTGCTGCTGTAGGCCACTAGTATTTATTGCATCACATGAACTTATTGTGATATTAATGTTTTCGTCTCTTTTTGGCTTACAGAAAAATGTTGTTTATATCTCAACTAATGCGCTCAATGCATTGTAGTACTTTACCTCGTTAGTATCCGCCATATTAATATTTATGCTCGTTATGCAGATTATCTCATTCGCGCGACCTGCGTCGAATAAAACAACAGGAGCGTACCCGGTTTCTGGACTGTTGTTTGGGCACCTTGTGTAAATGAAATTTAACTAGTCATGTTTACAAAACGTTTTACAGTAACTGGGTGTCGATAATTGGTGTCTCTTTCATATTTATACTTCTTTACTAATACATATGCTCTTTATAATGTAAATATCTTGAGATACGTTGGCTGTTTTGGCCCAAGTTGAGTGACATGATATATCCCATCACTTCTGGTCACATTCTGGTCTTTTTAAAAAATTCAATTTATTTATAGATGCGGTTTCATGTTCCTTAAACATGTAAAGCAAAAATATTTCCATATTCATTTTACTGCGCGAAGTATTGATTTGTATCTCAATTCATATTCGACAACTTGGAATATAAATTATTCAAATACATACGACGTTTAGTTTCTCGTGTCAGTTACCGAAATAGCATGACGTACGACATTAAAATTACTCTAATAAAATTAATACTAGAATTTTTTGTTAAAATCTCCTTTCGAATTAACTTGAGAAGATAATAAAGCACATGTCTTTGTTAATTGTTATAGTCTTATATAAATGTTTTTATGCACTGCGTATATTTTATGGCGAATATTCCTAATTACTCATACTTTATGTATAACGCTGTATAATACGCACAAGGAGTAGTTACTACACGTCGGGAGATCTTTCTTTGATACTGATAGCGCGCGAGTACATTTTTTTCAAGGTTGGCAAATACACAAACTTCACAAGCACTTGCATACCTGGAACAGTTCCTGTCCGATACGTTAATCGAAAATATTAATCATCATTACGATGTAATGAAATCTTTTGTTTCATTCCTGGCCAAGATTCCAAACGCAGAGTACTTTACCCGAAACCGTATCGTGCCTTCGGTCGCGCACGTGACAATACTTGTTTGTATGTATATATGGAATGAAAACATTCCAACAGCAACGCATGCTGGCAGGAGGTGACGTTACATATCCGATTTATTGATTTGTTGGATGTATATTTCATGTTTCCGGGTGCATTGTCTGATATGGTCATTAGCATCGTAAGTGCAGAGCACGTTTTATTACCGCAGATGGCGATGTTTCCCCCCTGATTGATGGTGAGATCCGGCACCATCGTCTGCTTGCGGGATTTCTCCATCCAGGTAGCGTCCTCTCGCGCACATCCGGGACAAGATCTAAGTTCCCGATTGGTCTCCCGACTTGCCGTCGACATGGACCGCTCACCAGTAGTTCAAACGGTGAGACCCATCTTTGTCCTTCTTGTATCCTTACACACACACACACACACGCACATTTACATACACTGCGTTACCTCAGGTATCAGAAGACCAGTGAGAAACTTGGAGATGATCCCGGCGGGGGCGGTGCTTTGCCGGGGGAGGTTTGTGGGGTAAAACGACGTAAAACGTAAAACGACGAGCAGACCGGTGTCGAGCATCTCTTCCCGCGATATAGCGTGCGCTGCACAGGACTAATGGCCATTACTTGATGCGCGCGGAAACTCTAATTTCACGTGGAGTAAGCGAGATTTCGGCAACTCATCGAGGAAAGCCAGTTAGACATCGAGTTTTAAAAGATAAAATATTCAACTCGTGTTCCTCTTCTCCAGTCTCCCCTTCTTTATCATTCTTCTCTGCTGTTCTTGGATACTTTTGATCAGAATTTCGAGTTTATGAGGATATTACGGTATTGAATTATGGATATGGAGCACTTCATGTTTTGAATACCAAACATCTTATGATAGAACCATAAGAAGCAAGTTAAGATAATATTCTATAAAAGAAGCAACGCCATAATGTGACATTGATCGTTCTGGGAGATATATCTTCCCTAAAATCACCAACAAGCTTCTTGAGGAACCTTATTGCCTTAGGGATGTACCTCAGGGCGAATTCATATCAAATTTTAGTGTTCTTCGCTCGCACAAGGAATTATTGAGGTAATACTTTTAATTTAGGAGAACACTTGCAGTGTTGCTCCGTAAGTTTATGAAAACTAAATTCTTAATCAGGGATAGTTTTAAACTATTTTATGTGCTATACGTATTATTTTTATTGAAACTAAAGTGTTATTGTTAATCATTCACTCTCCGTCCATATAAAAGAAAGATTTGAATTTTCCATACCAATAAACTCGGAAACATCTTCTTGTAACAAATTGCTTCCAGTTGCTAAAGATGTTCTAGGAAATGCTACGAGTATATTTTCAATTAATTACTTTTTCCAGATTATTTATGAAATAATAAAAAAAACTGTCCTTTTCATTAACATGGGAATGTAAGTTGAGACATTTCATTGATTGTTTCGACATCATATTGCCAACCGCCTCTATTTAATTTTTTGAAGGTTTCAGTACACTATTGGGAGAAAATTAATTGTAGAACAAAGGAAGGAAATGTATGAGAAAATAATAATGAATAACGTGGAAGCAAATAACACCTATATTATTACACTATTGACAAAAGAAATACATTTAAAGTGATTTATTATTATTCCTCTACATCACGACTAAAACCTTACGAGTCGGCTGAATTTAAAATTACTCCAGGATGCAACCCGCTACCTAAGGAGCAGATCTAGTGACTGTCCGTGCCTCTACAACACTGCGCAAAACGTGGGCTGTCCCAAATGAAGCAATTTCTTGCACTTTCCAGTCATTTGAATGACTTGGGAGTTTAGTCAAGTTTTTGCCAAATTTTGCGGAACAGATCCCAGAGTTCCGATGACTATCGGTACGACCTGTGCTTTTAGGCCCCACATTCGGCTGAACTCGATTTCCAAACGCTTGTATTTAAGACGTTTCTCTACCTTCTTGGTTACGACGTTTTCATCGCAAGGCACAGCAACATCTACAAGTAGACACATTTTTTTTCTCCAAATCCCGGATAACAATATCAAGTTTGTTTTCTGCAGTCGTGCGATCCGTTTGAATTTGTTGGCCATAAAATATTGTACCGAGTCCAACAGATTTCACCGGTTTTGGTGTTTGTGTCACTTGGGGCATGTGTTTGGAACTTCGAGGGCGGTCCAAATCTGCCTGTGGAAATAACAACACACCCTGTCGTGTCTTTTCAAGTATTCGGTCTTTGCTAGAATTGGACCAGCTGAGACGATATGATCAATTGTTTCCACTTGTTCCTGGCAGATGCGACATTTATCATCTTGGGAAATTTTGAGAACTGCTTTATCATAATGTCGTGTTTTCAACGCCTGATTCTTAGGAGCTATGAGAACTGCTTCTAATTTTGGCTTCATTCTTCCCATTTTAAGCCACATAAATGATTGATATACACTTTATCCATTCTTTTTAGATATCGTCTATAGAGTGGTTTGTCTCTCCACGTTTTTAAAACATTTTTTTGTCACACATTTAATGATTAGTAGCATCAGAAGTTCAATGTTTGTGCTATTCTGCGTGTCTTGCATATTTATCTTTGCAATGCTTCTTGCTACACTAACAATGCATGTTTCCCATTCTTCGGACAGATTTCATAACCTGCTTTATTAGAGGGTCATCTTGATGACTGAATACATACTTGTCTATCCCGTCTATTGCATTGTGCCAGGAGGTTTCAATTTGTGTGAGGCCTCTTTCTCCTTCTTTGCGTGACACATAAAGTACATCAGCTCGAGGGTGTGCTCGACTTCAGGCACCGCCAAACTACTTTATTCCAATTGAGTTCAAGGGTGCCAATACTTTATTCCTTGAGTTCAGGGTGGACTGCAGAACGAGTCTCACTCTTCTGTATTACTCCCTATGAACTCTCTCATTTTGTCGTTCGAGATGGTTTCACATTCTTCAATGCCCAAATATTTGTACTTTTTACCTCGCTCTTGAATCACAGTGTGCATATCAACTTCAATGCTCTCCGACATCACTTCGCATCCCTTTAAATTGGTTTTCGCACATTTGTCAAAACCAAACTTCATGCCCATGTCATTGCTAAAGTCATTCACGACAGCATTTAGAAGAGAATCGCTTCATTCTTAGCAAACACTTTAAGATCATCCATGTAAGATAAATGTGATACTGGTCTTTCATCATCATGTAACCAAAGTCAGCTTGTGACAACTGTGTAGATAGTGGGATGAAACTAATGGAAAACAGCAGAGGGAATAGCGAATCTCCTTGAAAAATACCCCTGTTGATCTGACTACTTCTTGTTTCTACTGCTTCCTTTTCGCTGCATATTGGTAAATTATTATTATTATTATTATTATTATTATTATTATTACTATTATTATTACTGATGACCGGAAGATTTATGCTCTCACCCCTGAAATGGTTCATGCAGTAGAACTTGGCTGAAAACGCAAAAGATTAATGAGAAATTAAATATTCGCAAACGGGTCCATGCGGTGTTTAGATGATTGCAATGTGTTAAAGTACTTTCAATAACGGCACAAAATGTAGAGGAGGCCATGTTTCAACACTGCGAATGAGCGACCAGTGACGCTAATAGCTAGGATATTGCAGCATTTAAATTTGTATTTCTTTTCTTTACAGGTGGGCAGTAAAACAACATGTTCTAGCTGATGAAATTATCACACGTGGTAAGCTAACTCTTCTTTAAATGTGTCTGAATTTAACTTAAGAGATTTTAAATTTTATAAGACAACCCAACAAATAAATTTATTGTCTCAGTGGTAATTAAAAGTAGTTTTGTTTTGCATAAACTCTGGGGTCTGCTCCGAAGTGTCTCTCACAATTTATTTATTAATGTGGCAGAAGTAAAACTACAAATATAAAATTTAATAAAAATCGAGACATTCAAATGTTTGTCGGTAAACGTTGATCCAATTACGAAGATGAACGAGTTAATATCTCCTGTTAAATATTCCACTCATGAGTTATTAGTTTGAATTCGGCCAATAGGGCTTTATAATAATATGGTTATAAACCAATTACGGGCGTGTAAAATCGAAACGTTCACATGCGTACTTTTCGCTATCGTCTTACCGTAGATGACGTTCAACTCTTTTGGAAGATAAGTAAATATTCCTTCCAAGAGTAAACTGGAGTAAACAAAGGAATATTTTTCTCTATTTTTAGCATAAATTTCCTACTATTCAATCGATTTACGATTATTCGTGGAATAGTCTAACCGAATTCCTCTCGAGGTTTTTAACCTTCTCAGATAAGTCCGCTCGTCCCTAAGCTAAAGAAGAAAACGTATGTGATCGTGTTTGGAAAGTGCGCGTGGATTTCAAATGAAAATATTTTCATGTCATTGCAATATGTTATTTTCTTTTTAATTATTTACATATTCTTGAGGATAATACGGTTTTTGTAAAACGTATTATAATTTATTTAGTATCTGGTATGCCTTGTCTTTACCCAGTGCGACTCGAAAAGAGTAAACTTTTCCCGAATTTTTGAAAGAGGTGTTCTACCTATTTCGTATAAAAACGAATCAACTCCTGTCAACGACGGGTGCATTAGCGAATGTTACGTTATAAAGAAGAAAATGGACACATACTGCATAAAATAAAACTTGTTACGACACAAGGACTGAGTTTTACGACTCGTTTCGAAATTCTATCCTCGGCTCCTGCGTCGTGTGTGTTAGGAATTCATACATCTCAACTCGTATTGTAACCTTTTACGTCCATGTAAAGTAAATTACCAGTGCTGCACAAATTAGGTACTGGTTCTGTAAGAGACTCTTCCCTCACTAGAATCAGTGGTAATAATTGCATAGAAAACTAGTACAAAATTTTTCGTACTTCAGCTTGTGTATTTCGCAAACACCATTCCAAAAACAAGGCAGATTTAGAATCTGCAGGTGAACTAAACAATGTAAAAACCTAAAGATGTTATAGAACAGGGCGTAATGAGAAGGAAGGTCGCAGAATGGTGATCGAAACGTCGGCACCTTTGGCATGGTCGCGGCGTCACCCGGACAGCCAATTAAATACTGCCTCCGGCCGCGGAAGTCTACGTTCACACTGGGAATGACGACTCATTGGACCTTTAACTATGTTACCAAAAACCTTGTGCCACATTTTATAATCCAGAAATGTAGAAACAAGATCGATCTGCGAAAGTCGAAACCTTACTAATCAAATTGGACACTACACAAAATACTGAGTATATGTATACTCCATGATCACCCAATTACGAAACAGCTGGTGCAAATGGCATGTTATCACATTTCCTATCGTAAAGAAAATCTTAATCCGCGTTCATGAGGAACGTGTATGAAAATCGAATCTCTAAGAAAGACCAATTCTTTTAAGCAATACGTTATAGGCTGCACGCGTCTCTTATTCATTAAGGGACTACTAAGATTTGTGACCCTCATGTTGTGTCCATGCCAATCTCGCGCAGCGTGGAGTGACCAGTTCTTTTAAGCGTATTTGTTGCAGTAGTCTCTTATTGACAAATTGTCGACTTGGATTTGGGGCCCGTAATGCTTTGTCCGTGCCTCCACTCTCGCGCGGGGCGATGACTGTGGGAGGAAGGGGGGGCGGTGTTTATTGTCGGCGTCCGCGTTATGAGTAACGGCTCCAGGTGCCGCTTGGGCATCGCGTGCCGCACGCTCCGCCGGGGGCGGGGGGAGGGGTGGAGAGGGTGGGTGGATGGGTGAGTGTCTTGCTTAATAGCGCGCAGCCCTGTCGAGTTCCTCCGCCGAATCCGCCGGATCTGCGCAATCCACCTCGTCCGCCACGCGCACGTGTAGGGGAACTGGGACAGGGCCCCTCGCGGTGCACGCGATATTTCACGTCGCCCCGCGCCGCCGCTAATGGATATAACCAGCGATCTCTATACTAACAGGATGAATGACTCCCATTCTTCCGCGCAGTAGAAAAGCGGGTACGTTGATTAATTAATTATTAGTGAATCCGGGCACATAAACTACTGTGGTCATTAGTCCCGTAAGTATATTGCATGTTTTCCTCGTGATGTGGCACTGGTCTTCCCCATTCGGAGAGAATAGGCGCCGCCCTACCTACAAATTACGCGCCGGCCTACCTACAAATCGCCTACTAGGGTTTTTTCCAACCAAGTATCTCCTACCAGCGACACAGCGTACAAGCTGTAAGTTCCCGACCGGCCTCCCGGCATGTGTGATAATGTAGTGCATGTGTGTGGTAATGTAGTGTATGTAAGGGGTGAAAATAGGACAAGGAAGAGGTAGGTAGGAAAGATTACGCGCGGTCCGTAGCCCGTTTGTTAGGGTACTGCTCCGACATTCGCCTGGTATGGATCAGAGAACCCACCGAAAATTACCGATTAGAGCAGGCGACCGCTAGAACACACCTTCAGCCAGCGACTGAATTCGACCTAACTGACAAGCTAATGTCGTAAGTACTGCCACAGTCGAATCTCGAACTTAGGACCTCCCAGTCAGAGACACTGCAGTGACATCAGTTGATTCCCTGAGCCATTTTCCCGGTGCGTGCATGTTCATTACGGGCGTCGCCTTATTGTAGTTGGGCAAGAAACAAGATGCTGTTGTTACACGAGGCAGATGTCACGTAGGCCACAATGGTCAAGCCACCCCCTTTCATGACCGCCGACC